TTATTTATTATTTGTGTGTGTGGCCAGCTCAGCCCACCAGGGGGCGGGGCTGGCTGGCATGTGGTGCTGGGGGATTGAACCACGGTCCCTGTGCTTTGCTTAGCTTAGCTTGTTCTAAGTAGGTGCTTTAGACCGCTGAGCCATCTCACCAGCCTAGGCAGTTGTTTAATGGCTGTGAAGTTTCAGATTTTTTTGTGGAACCAGGGATTGAACTCAGGCCCTTGCGCTTTCCAGGCAACAAAATTTTTGAAAGAAACAAACTACTGAAAACTGATGACAAATAGGATATGTGTTAGAAAATATGGGACAGAGGAGTAACAATAAATTGGCACAGAAATGGTGAGGGCTAGGGGTATAGCTCAGTGGCGCAGTGCCTGCCTGTCAAGCATGAAGTCTTGAGTTGGAATCCAGGTACAAAAATAAAAATAGGGGGGCCGGTGAGATGGCTCAGTAGAATAAGCACTTGGCTGGCAAGTGCAAGGACATGAGTTCAATCCCCGGTTCTGCAAAAATAAATAAATAAATAAATAAAGGGGCTGGGGAAGTAGCTCAGTGGCATAAGTGCCTGCAAGGTTCTGAGTTTGATCCCCAGAACCAAAAAATAAAATAAAAATAAAACCCAGTGAGTTTGGAGATACAGACAGTGGAATTCAAAACAATCTGGGTTGGAACTCAATGATAGAGTGTGTGCTTAGCATGTGTGAGGCTCTGGGCTTAGTATGTATCACCATACAAATAAAACCCCACAATGATTTCTTCTTAGACAGTGCTCAGTTGCATGTGAAAAACTGCACATCGTCTTGATTTCCACTGAGGAAATTAGAACAAAGGCAGCATCCTGGTTGCTTGGTCCCTTTCCTGAGCCTGAGCATGTCTGTTCTCTTCCACAGGTGTACTGGGTGGGCCCAATCATTGGAGGGGGTCTGGGCAGCCTCCTCTACGACTTTCTGCTCTTCCCCCGGCTCAAGAGTGTTTCTGAGAGACTGTCTATCCTCAAGGGTGCCAGACCCAGTGACGCCAACGGACAAGCAGAGGGCACAGGGGAACCTGTTGAACTGAAGACCCAGGCCCTGTAAAAGTTCCCACTGGGTTTCTGTGGAGGGGCCGAGCCAGTCCCTGGATGAAGAATGAGACTGTGGGAGGGGCATGTACTTCTTTCTTTTTTAACTTACGTGTGTGTTTTTCCCCCTTTTGCTGTGTGAAATCTTTCAAGTTGCATTCATGAGCTGGTTGGTGCCAACTTCCCTTCCTCCCCATCCCACCTTCCTTCGCCGTGTGTGCAAGATTGTGCGTATGAATGTGGGTGAGTGTGGCCATGTCAGAATTTGGGACACAGGAGCTAGGGAAGAGAAAACAAGTGTCAACATATATGTCCCTCCTCCAGCCCAGTGTGATGAGCACAGGGCACTTCAGGGTTAGGGTTCTGGCCTTTAGTTGGCTTCTATTCAAATCTATAGCTCTTGATTTTTTTAGGGAGCAGGGAGGTAGGGAGTTGCTCCTCCCAGAAGGCAGGTGGAGAAAGGTGAAGACAAAGCATTCCAGTGTTGGGGAGAAGGTACTCGAAGGGTGGTAGTGGAGGTACTAGCTCCACATCAACATGCAAGTGTATCTAAAACCTTTCGAGGAGTCAGTGGAAGAATGTAGCCTACTTATCTCAGGGATGCTTGTCCCAGGGACTTGGGTGCAGAAGTGGCTCTGAGAAAAGTGAACACTCGGATTTGAGCTGTTATTTAAAGCCACATAAACCTGTCTACATCCACTGGCTGGGTTGTCTGTTCATTCTGGTATAATGGATCTCTAGAAGACCTGGGGCAGGGAGGTCCCAACTTAAATAGGAGGTGGTCAAACCTAGAACTAGAAAATTAAGCGGTTTCATATTCCCTGGCAGATGGTATTTAAACCTCAGAATTGCTCCCAAGGGCCAAACCAGAAAATCTAACTCCTGGAGCAAATTTAGCAGAGGGAATAAGGGGCCAAAAGAGCTTTGATTTAATTTATATAGAGCAGCTGGGTGTGGTGGCGCATGCCTGTAATCCCAGCACTTGGGAGGCTGAGGCAGGAGGATCCCTGAGTTGGAGGCCAGCCTGAGCTACATAGTGAGTTCAAGGCTAGTCTGCACTACAAAGTGAGACACTTTCAAAAAACAAAAATTTATTTAGAGCAAATCCAGGCACTTTCCAAATGGCATCTGTAGTCTATTATCACTAGCTCTAGTCTTTTTATATGTCTTTTCCTTTTTCTCTCATCTGTCCTTTCATTTCACAGCAAACCTCTGCTATTCTCCCTAATACCTCAGAAACTGATTTCTTCTATTCCAATGCTTAGTAATTCAAGCGATGATTCTTTGGAGCCTTACCTTTTTTTATTGTTGACAAAATACAACACTTCGGGCAGAGTCGAGACAGGAGACCCTCAACTAAACAATGAATATTTATTGATCTCTTCCTTTTATGAACCTCCAGCAAACTTCACAAACTTTAAACTGATACCTAAAGTATGAGACAACTCTAACTCCTACCAAGACTTCAGCTCTCCACTTACTCCCAAATAAAATATAACTTTTCTAAGTCACCCTTTAAGGCTTTGGAATAGTCCACTTTACTAGAAGAGAAATAGTCCTCTTTACTGAAAACATTCGCCTCTAATCAGACCTTGACTACTATTCCTAGCGTTGTGGCATTTCGGTCAATGTAGGAAATCGACTCCGATAAAACAGTCCTTGTAATCACGTCCCTTTTCCTTACCTCATCACCAACGATACCCCTCCCTGCTCAGAGTAAATGGACCAGCCCGACTCGCCCCGCCCCACTTCGCACGCAGGCGGGGCGTGGTCCTGCCGAGCTGGTGGCGGGAAGGGCTGCAGAGCCGCCCCTGAGGGCTGGTGGCTCCGTGGAGCTCCGGAGGACCCACGAGGAGTGGGTGAGTGTGGCCACAGGATTCCTAGTAGGCTCGGGTCCCCTCAGAACCGCGAGGGACAGTTTGGACCGTGCGGAGTCTGCGTTCCCGCCACCTGGTTGAAAGACAGGGGGCGGGGCGCGGCTGTGGGTGCGCATGCGCAGCGCCGTTCCGGGTGCGGTGGCTGCTTGCTGCGCAGCTCTGCGCGCCTTGGTCTCGCGCGGGCGCAGAAGTAATGGGTGGGAGTTGGGAGCCTCAGAAGTAGAGCAGGGGTTCTGAGGAATTTCTAGTCGCAGTTCACTAGCCTGTTCAGATGAATAAATTTTAAAAAAAGATGTGCGGCTTGTAGTTATCGGGTGTCAGAATTCACAGGGCGCTTGATGTAAATCTTGGGTTTTTGTTTTTTTTGGCAGAACCGGGGATTGAACTCAGGCCCTTGTGCTTGCCAGGCAAGCGCTTTTTCCACTGAGCCATCTCCCCTAAATCTTGGGTTTTTATAGAACACGTTTTTCCCTTCCCTCCGGTCCCCGGGATGGGTTAATTAGCTGTTCACTTAAAGACACTGACTAAGCGTCGTCTTGAGTCTCTGTTGTTTGGTTTGGTTTGGCTTTTTTTTTTATAAGCAGAATATATTTATTGAGAGAAAGAAAGCTCCTGTCCAAGAGAGGGACAGGAGGGGGTCCCAAGCGGGTAGTTCCCCGGGAAGCTGTGTCTTTCAGGGACTTTTATAGTGTAAAACCATGTGGGGCTAAGGTAGAGAGAATGGGAACTCGCTTAGGTGGGCGGGAGGTGGGACAAAACTATGGTCAACCAATGGGATTACATAGGGGACAGGGTCTCTTTCTGTTGGGGGTTGGACTATTGCCTCACTTGGGTCTTTCCAGGTGATTGATACCTATTTAGAATATCAATCCAAGGTGCTACTCGTTTAGCATTTGTTTGGCCTTTAGGTCTTTAGGTCTGGTTCACAGCAGGAGCATCCGCCCCTCCCACAGTTGTAAGGCATCTATCTCCTCTTCTGTGTTGTCTCCTTCGAGGGCCTGGCCCTGTCTGACTGCCTATAATATTTTTATCTAAGGTTTGGCATTTTGAAACAGGGTCTCACTTTGTAGTGCAGACTGGCCGTGAACTCACTATGTAGCTCAGGCAGACCTCTTTCTGGCGACCTCCTGCCTCAGCTGCTGCTGCTACTGCTTCTTCCTCTTCCTCTTCCTCTTCCTCTCGCGGAACCGAGGATTGAACTCAGACCCTTGTGCTTGCCAGGCAAGCGCTTATTCTACTGAGCCATCTCCCCGGCCCCTTGCCTCAGCTTCTTGAGCGCTGGGATCACAGGGATGCACCACCATGCCCGGCTTTATCTGAAATAGTGAACCCCCTCTATTGTATTTGGCACTCAACAGCTTATTGAAAGGTTATAGAGTTCCTCCTCGTACTGACATGAATAGGGCAACGTTTCCATCCCTGAGGAATTCATAGCCTAGTAGTAAAATATATATAAATGATAATTCTTCAGTTACAGATGCAGGATAAGAAAGTTCTACCTGACTTTCTTATTCTTCTCGCTTCTCAGTTGCACACATACCCTGCCACCTCCACATCTCTAGCCCCAGCCTCTTTTTCCTCAGCCTTTAGACTTGTCTACTCCAGTTTAGACAAGTTTATTGAGCACCTACATTATGCTGGTTATGATTCCCGAACTCGAGAAATTTATATTTCAGTGCAGATGTTAACAAGGAATTGCATTTAGAAGCACCAGAGTATTTTCAAAACACCTTGCCTAACCCCTGCCTGCTAGAAATTTTTTTTTTTTTCCTCGAATGCCTTCAGGGCACTTTTGGCCAGCGGGAGAGTTGTGAGGTTCGAACTCCAGGAACCTGAGGCTGACAGCTTTGTGGAAGCAGCCACTTAAAGGACTGAGCTAGGCCCAGGCCCCCTAGAAATTTTGATACAATAACCAGGCTCAAAATTCAAAGATCTATAGGAAAAAAATTATTGTTCTTGGACAATCTGAGTCTAGTGGGTCCACAGAGTAGGTAGATGAGAAAATGACATGGAGTGGTTTGAACAAGAGGTTTGAAAGATAACAGGCAGATAGAGTATTTTGTATTGTGGGCATGGTGGAGTTGTCAAATTCTGATTTTGTGTGATAGTGTATATTAATGGTAAACAATTCAAATAGTACCAATTAGTCAGACTTTATTGGTGCATTTTATTTATTTAATTTATTTTTTGGGTGGAACCAGGGTTTTGAACTCAGGTCCTTGCACTTGCCAGGCAAGCATTTATTCTACTGAGCCATTTCCCCAGTCCCCTATTGGCACATTTTAGATATGATTACATTTATCATAGAGAATTTATACCTATACATGATATAACTTGACTAGCAAATAGCACAAAGGGAAAACCAGGAAGATATAACTTGACTCTTTTTCCCATTCCTCTATCCTCCCTTCAACCCCTTCTTGCATTTACAAAAGCTTTGTTTCCATTTTTACCTCTTTTTTTTTCCTTTTCCTTCTTTTTCTTGTGGTTTTGTTTTGTTTTGTCCCCCCCCCTTTTTTTTTTTCTGAGACAGGGTGTGCAGTTAAGCTGGCCTTGAGCTCACTTTGTATACCAGGCTGGTCTCAGACTTGCAACAATCCTCCTGCCTCAGCCTCACAAGTGCTAGGATTACAGGTGTGAGCCACCATGCCCAGTGCTTGCTTGCTCGCTCGCTTTTACTTTCTTCTTTCGCTTTCTCCTCCTTCCTTGGTTCCACTCCCCATTTGAACATTTTCTTCTTTTTTTAAAATTTTATTTATTTATTTATGTGTGTGTGTGTGTGTGTGTGTGTGGCCAGCTCAGCCCACCAGGGGGCGGGCTGGCTGGCATGTGGTGCTGGGGGATTGAACCATGGTCCCTGGGCTATCGCTAAACTTGTTCTAAGTAGGTGCTTTAGACCACTGAGCCATCTCACCAGCCCCTGAACATTTTCTTCTTCATAGTACCTATATACATTAAAATTCTTATTTACACTTTTGGTTTCTCACACCAGGGAAACAATTAGGTATTTACACATATGTGTCCCACTTATTTCACTTAGCAATTTCTCAAGCTTTTCCTTCTTTATGGCAGAGTAGTACTCCATTATATAAAAAACACATCTTTATGTTCATCAATTGATGGGCATTTAGGCTGTTTCCAAGATTTGGCTATTACAAACTGTGAAGCTATAAATAGGCTTGTGTGTACATCACTGTGGTATGATGCTTTTCATTCTTTCAGGAAGATACCAAGAAGAAGAATAGCTGGGTCAAATGGAACCTCTTGTCCTAGATAAGTGTGAGTTTTCGTTTTTTGGTTTTCGTTTTTATTTTTGTTATTGCCTTGAAGACCCCAGTTCCCTCCAGAGACATCACTACGGAGTACTTTTCTTTCTTTCTTTTTCTTTCTTTTTTGTGAGACAATATCTCTTTTTCTTACTGAGGTTGGCTTCAAACTCCTAGGCTGAAGTAGTCCTCCTGCCTTAGCCTCTTGAATAGAGAGGACTACAGACTTGCATTCACCACACCAGGCTGATGTTTCTTATGTATCCACTTAAAGTTTTTGTTTGGTTTTTGGTATTGCGTTGAACCCAGGGCCTCATACCTGCTAACCACATGCTCTACCACTGAACTGCAGCTACAGCCTGCTTGAAGTGTTTTAGGTAGGATGGTTATATAGCCAAATCAAATAACTATATTGTGGCTAGATTTAAGGGAATAATATTGGAGGGAGAAAGAAATTACGAAGCAGTTGAATAATCAAATGAGATATCCCAGCACTCAAGAGGCAGAGGCAGGAAGAATCACTTAGCGTTTGAGGCCAGTATGGGCTATGTAGTGAGTTCAACGCCAGCCTGACCTGCATAGTAAGCCCCTGTTTCAAAAAAACTCAAAAAAAAAAAAAAAAAAAAAAAAAAAAAAAAACGATAATAATAAAGACACTTAGGACCTGAACTAAGACAGCAGGTGGGATAGATGAGGGCAAATGAGGAGCTTAAGGAAGTTAAGGGAAATGGAAGTAGCTAAGATGATTCCTAGGTTTCTTATAGTATGAATAACTTAGGTAGTGTCGGTGCTTGGGAGATCCAAAATAGAAGTAAAGGCAAATTTAGGGGGAGAATTTCAGTTTTGAGCATTTTATATGTGAGTTGAAGATATTCATTGCTCTGTTTAACATGTGGGATTGGTATCTTGGGAGTTCAGAAGGACCCAAGATACAGATTTGCTGGCTTGGATGATAGCTGAGGTGTGGGAGTAGACAGCTTTGCTCAAGAAGACTTTGTAGAGTGGAATGAGAAGAACACAAAAGATGCAGAGCAATGAAACAGCCTTTAAGGGGAATGGGAAAAATAGCCAATGCAGGGCAAGGGAAAGCTTTCTTTCATGTTGGATTTTTCCCCCCTTTTAACATGTTGAACATCTCATTGTATGTGGAAATGGGTCTAGTATAAAGAACAAGTTGGAAATAACTGTCCATGCACACATGTAGGGGATTGTCCATTGTGGGGTTGTGCCCCAGCTGGACCCATCTGTGTACCAGGTGTCATCCAGAGGTCCCTCTTTGCCTTCCATGTCGGGGCTCAGTGTCATGACCTGTAAACCATCATCTTGCACAGCTTCCTGTGCCACGTACTGTCCCAAAACTGTAGCCAACTCTGCTGCCAGTGGGCTAGATGAGCAAAGGCCCACTTTTGGAGGTACGCCCCCCCCCCCCAGTGTGTGAGGGTGGGGGCCTGGGCAACTCCACTCCTGGGACTCAGAGTCCATGTACGAATCCATCCCTCAATTGAGTATTTAGCCTGTACTTCTACTGTCTGCTGCCCCATGACCCCCTCACAGACATGCAGAGCAGCGTACACTGCTACTGTTTCTCAGTCAGGAGCTTTCAGTTCTTTTCTGTCTATAACTATGATCAAAATCCAGTAGGGGACTTCTGCTTCCCTTGTTTTTGCCATAGGCTCCAGCCAAACCCCACATCATCCACATTCACTGTTAGGGTTA